CTCTCTCTCTCTCTCTCTGTGTGTGTGTGTGTGTGTGTGTGCGCGCGCACGCGCGCGCGCGTGCGCGTATGTGTGTGATCAAATTTCATCCAGATCATAATCAGAACATAAGCTTTGATTACATAGGTTTGTCGAGAAGGGAGTGGAAATTTGGGGGAACTGAGAAAATAAGGAGAGAAAAGAGTTAAGATTGCCCTAGTGATAATAATATTTAGAGTGAGGAGGAGGAAACTCGTCGAGGAATTCTATCAAAGAAGAAGAGGACGCGGAAAAAGAGGGGTGAGGAGATTCAGAAATTGAAGGCTGAGGGGTAGAGGAAGTAAATCCGTGATTCTTTCCGTTAGGACTGATGAGGGTGAGTTTGGTTGATCTAGAGGGAGGGGCATGAGGAGATAGGGAAGAAACTCGTTTCGGTTCGGAGGATGATAGGACGCTGGGAAGTAGAACTAACGGGGTCACAGAGAGAAGGGGATAGAGGAGGAGAATAATAATTGGGTTAATAATCACTTAAATCTACGTTTGCTTGACTAGATTTATTTTGTTCGCCCTGAGCTGTCTCTCTTATAGCGTACGCTCGGTTGCGGCGGTTCTTTATGTGCTTCTCGGATACCTTTGATTTACGTTTGTACGAAGAACGAGCGTCCACTAAAATTTATCGTTTTGCGAATTAATAAATAAATAAAATTAAAAAACGGACAAGTAAAAAGGGGAAATGACACACTATCAATTTTCGCGGATCATGCAAATGTCATGGGTCTAAACACCAATGTCGATCAAATAACTCTGAGTAACAAGGATGATATGGATCAAGTCGATCTTGATCGGGTAACCTATAGCTCTATGATAACTATCGACTACGATAGGAACTCTAGCGCATGATGAAAATAATTCTAAGATTCGGGGGTGTTCTTTTCGAATTAAAAAAAAAAATGAAAAAAATAACTAAGATTTAGATTTATACTACTTGTTAAGTGTACGAGCCGAACGTTATGAACTGTTGACTGAAGAGGAAGACCTTGTTTCTTAGGGGTAGAAGCGGTCTCGATCAGGTATCTTGAAAGTGCATAAATTCAACCGTACTCCGCGATTGCGAAAGATCCTCTTTATATTCGGAGTTGATTGTATGGGATGATTTTATTTGAGATTATAAGTACAAGCAGATTAGGTTTTGGTATTGGTATTGCTTGTGGTGTTCAACTGTTTAGGTAATTGACGATATAAGATGTTTTCGTCATTACAATCTGTTGGGTGTGATAGATCCGGAGGAGATGAGTCAACTATGATGGAAGGAAACACTTGTATTCAACAATTTTTAATCTTACTGTTTAGAAGTGATCCCTATCGCCCAACACTTGCAAAAAGTTAGTTTAAATCATCACTTCTCGACACTTTCTGTCAAAATAATAGAAGAGAATCTGCCATCTGCCCTATCGCTATCAATATTTCTTATGGCATAAATATTGATCCACAGATGTTTTATAAGCGGCTTTGATAGTGAAACACTTTATAAAAAAAGGCCTGTAGAATCTGGGACGTAACAGTTTACGATTATTTTTTCCCTAGTCTCTTCACACACACACACTATTCCTTCTTCATACCTTCGTATTGAATTAGTGATAAGAAAGCGCGCTTGTGTGTGTGTGTGTGTGATTACTTGTCTTGCATTATTATAAAAATATTATTAAATTGCATTCCGTATCATTCTATTGCTAAATCGCATCGTTAAAAAATCATAAAATAAATATCATAATTATTTAATAAAATATTTTTAACACGTGTGAAAAGAAGAAAAACGAGGGAGTTGGACAGAAAAAACGCAACGGGAAGAAGAGAGAGCGCGAATAAGATGATGAGCAGGGAAGCCCACAACGGGAATGAAAAAATAACATAGTAAGTAAGGGACCGCAACGGGAGGGAGAAAACAAACTGTATAGTACTACAAAAAGTGGGGGGGGGGATGAGAGGGCAATAATGGGTTGAAAAGAAAACGCAATGGGTAGGAAGGAGAAACAGCAAAACCCTCTTTTCTGTAGACCCTTAACGACACATTTCCTCCTTCCTTGCTCCTTAGACCCAACGTCTGTGACGCACTTCCTCCTTCCTTGACCTTACATATACTCACACATATACACGCGCGCGCACACCGCATATACATATACGCACACATAGTGGATTAGAACCGGTGTAGCTTACTTACATACAATATATTATGTAATGATGCATTTTTACAACCTTTACATACGTGATGTCATAGTATAAGTGATTTATAAACTTTTTAATCTTTTACTGCAAAAATTAAAACTTAGTAAGACAAATTTACTATAAGATTTAGATAAACAGATGTCGGTTTTGATGCATTGAATTTTACCTGATTCATACGAGACACCGTGAGGCTGTTAGTTGAGTAGTTATTGAACACCGAATTGACAACAAGCGTGCGATTATACAGTACATTTAACGTAAGCGTATTAGGTTTACCACCCCGGAATCTTAAGTTCAAATGCTTGCGATGCGTTTTCGAAAATTAAAATTGTAAAACGATTGTAATTGATAAAATACATATATATGAAACGTTGCTGTGACGTGACATATGTGAATTGTCGCTTAAAAAATACTAAATTTATTTTTTCTATTCTTGAACATTGTCAGTATTATTTCGAAATATTTGCAATGCGTAGCACAGCATGGTTTATTTGTATATTACCAGCTATCAGCATAATTATGTAGTATTTATTATTTGACACATATTGTCGCCATGTTGCTGTATACGTGCTGTTGATTGCGGATAGCATGCAGACGATGACAAGTTGCCGGATTGCCGCCGATTTGCTGACAATGTTCTGTTTGCTGATGACAAATTGACAACACAAGTTGTTGTCAAGGAAATTAATGCCGACACGTTGCCATCAATTTGCCATCATAAGAAGTCGACTTCTATTGAGTTTAATGCGACAGACATAATGCTGTCTCAGCTTGTCCTGAGTTTGTTGAAATTAGTTGCTGCAACAATTTTCAACAACATGTTAACAAACTTACTGCATTCGGCTATCAGGGTTTATTAATGTTTTATTGATTTTATATAAACGCATAACACATAAACACATAATATGTATCATGAGTATCCATTAATAAAAAAACTATGTGAACAGATTTTATTGATTTTTAATAAATTTTATTGATATTTAACATCAAAATTACAACATTATTTGTAATAGCAGTATTTACAAATTCTGACTAGAAACACATACAGAACATAAATACATATATGGTATATATACACGCACGTACGGTACGTTCTCTGGATTTGTCTCCGATGAATAATTTTATCTTTTTTATAAGAGCATTTGAAATGTTATCAAACAATAATAAATATAATATTCAAGATCTTTGAGAGAGAAAGGCACATCTGTCTAATTACAGATTGCACAATTTTGGATCAAGATTATATAATAGCTGTCACTCGTAATAACTTGTTATAAGGAGCAGAACTTATGTTTGTGTTGCAGAAAGAGGCAAGCAATTTGAATATTTGTTTATATAAATTAAAAATCAATAAAATTTGTTTAAATAGTCTTTCTTTATTGATAGATATTTGTGATACAAATTATGTGTTTATGTGTTTGAAACATCAACAATAAAACATCAATAAAGGTGACATTTTGTTAAATTCATCTTGGAGGCCTCTATATTAGTATGAAAAAATTATTATTAATAGTAAGTTATTATTTAAAAAATTCATTTCAATTTGAAATTTGAACATTTGCTTAGATAAGGGAGTTACAGTTTGTCTTGATGCCTCTACAGCATGAAATATTGCAGCAATATTTTAATAGCGCGCAATATTACAAAAATTGCAACAATATTGTTGTAATATTGAAATTTTAATATTTTGTGATTAAGAAATATATTGCATTCTATTGCTGCAATATTATAATTTAATACGTAAGTATGCGGTGCCACTACGAGATGGACACGCTTCTCATAAGAAGAAAACGTCCAGGAAGTCTATAAGAAAGCATATGCAAAACAAGTTGGCGAGTCTTTTAGAGATTCCCAAGCTCTTTCGGGTGTGCTTTTTAAATCCCTGATATTTTTTTATTATAACTTTATTGTGTGTATTTTGGAATGTCATTTTAGAATAATATTTTAGCAATTAATAAAACTGGATTAATTATTAAAATATTGCATTACGTTGCAGCAATATATCTAAAAATTGTAGCAATATTACACAATATTTCAATTTTATTGTTGCGGACATACACCGAAAAAAATGTTACGGTTGTTTCAACCGAAAATATGATAATTTTCGCCCATCAATATAATTGCGATAACCGTAACATGGACGTATCTTTACAGCCATAATCGTTAAGATGATATGCCAATTTTACGGTTATTACAATTGTACTATAGTTCTTACAACCAAAACATGTATAATTGATGAGCGACTTTGTTCGTGGCAATCGTATCCGTTTTTTCTGTGTAGAAATATTATTACAATATTGCAACAATATTTTATAAAATATTGCAATCTTTCAAAGTAGTATTGCTGCAATGTTGTTGTAATATTGATTGTCAATTTTAGTGTTCAAAATACAAAATATTTTTATATGCTCCGATAAATACAAAATACGAAATACAATTGTCTTATGAATACTATGTTTCAAATGAAAGTATTTCAAATATGTGCATAGCCCTGCTTGTAACAAGCCTATCTGATGATATATACTAAATATAAATAATAAGCGATACTGTCTTCAGATATGGTGACTAATTGGATTTGTGATAACAAATATGTAAGATCAAATGGACATGTCTCGTAGCTATATCGCGTTGCAATCGGCATTAATAATTAAAAAAATAGTTACTCTACTTAGACATTAATTGGAACGAAATTCTTTAACTTTATAGAAAGAGACATGACCTTGCATCTCGCATGACTGCAATTCTAATTCTGACACACATTACAGTTTTTTGCTACTATTAGAGTGACTATAATTGTTACTCAGATAATAATTTCTCATCAGAATGTATCATAAATGCGCGCATGTGTATTACTAATTGTATTGCAGATAAACTACAAACTATTCAATGCCGCGCGTGATAAATCTGCCATGAATTATCAAGTGGGTCGATTTGACATGGAATTGGAGCCTGATGTTAATTCATCTTTCGATCGTCATAGGATTATGTGTTCAACGAGCTGTCCACGACATTCCTACAAGAAGTGTGTAAGGCTGACCAGTCTGCCAAACACACATATAAAAAATACCGTCGCATCTACAGTAAGTCATATATGTTATCTAATATAGATTTATCTAATATAGATTTATCTAATATAGATTTAGTTTTGATGATTACATCAAAAGAATTGAAATAAATGTTTATTTTACAGATAAAATTAAAGATAAAATTCGAGTTAACTTAGAAAATTATTTTTAATTACAAATGCAAGTAATGTGATATATAATTTAAACATTTTTTTACCATTAAGATAAAGAAATTTCTTAAAAAAAATTTTTTTTTTAATTATATTCAAATTCTAATTTTTTCTTAGTCCATTAATGTAATTCAGTTAGACGCATTTTTAAAATAAATTTTAGCGGATTTATTTGTTATTTTAATGTCCTTAAAACATTAAGCAATAATCATTTTTGATATAAAATTTCTTGCTCTTTCAGAATCTGCCATTAGAATTTATCAAAAATAAATTTTAAAAATTATAGCAAATTTTTTTAGAAAAAATGTAATTTTTCAATCTCAAATTTTTTAAATCGATATTTATTTATAGAAACGGCATTAGAATAGTCTTGAAAAAATCAAAATGTTATTTCCATGGAATCCTAAATTTGAAAACAGAGACCCTAATCGTTATAATTAAACTTTGGGAGGTATAAAACCTTCAAATGCCTCTAAAATTTTGCTCCAGGATCTTCGGAAGATTATCACATCTTATATGAAAGAATAATTCAAGATAAATCTTTTGTATTAATATTAATTATGAATACTGCATAATGCATCTTGGATATATACTGTATACATATATGTCATAGAAAAATCTGTCGAACATAGTATCACAAAAAAGTTTAAGTATCATATTTTTCAATATTTCGGAAAGTATTATTATGGTACAAAATATTCTGAGAAAAAGACTTCATTTTATTTTCTAATTCGAAGAAGCCTGTTAGGATTTCCAAAAATGCAAGGAAACTCACGACAATCAAATACTGTTCATGAATAGCAAGGGTGTTCAGCTCTCAAGATGAATCAAGCATTAATCGATGGTAACAATCAAAGGAATAAAACGCTCGTCATGTCCACGTTCATTCCGGGTAATTCTGAGAACGGGTACAAAATTAAAATTATAAAAATATCACTGATACATGTATGTACAAGTGTAGTAAAAAAAAATTTATTTCGATTTTTTGTACTTTCTCATATATAATATAAAGACTTTCTGAAGGTCCTAGAACAAAAACTAACTACATTTGTGGAAGCCTATGAAGAATTTTAATCAGTTTCACATGAACTACAAAAAAATTAAAATTTAAAGCGATCTGACCGAAACCCATTTTCCATAATATTTGTGCAGGATTCTTTGTTAAATAATGCAATTTTTAATAAAAAATTTTTCTTCCGTTATTTACTCAATGAATTATTTTACTACAGAGCGAAGGTAATCCAAGGCGTCACTTCAGCAGCGAGCGCCGAGAGAGTCTTATGCAGAACATGTTACAAAAATCGATAAGAATACTGAGGACTGGTAATAGTCGAGCCTGCATTTGTAATAAACGTCAGCTAAGGAGAAGAAAAAGTGAACGAAAGGCGAGCACTACTTTGGGCATCATCGTTGGAGCCTTCATTATTTGCTGGTTACCATTCTTTATGTTAGCACTAATTAGACCATTCTACAAACCTGATGCTATCCCGCATTCAGTATCATCCCTATTCCTTTGGCTTGGTTATTGTAATAGTGCGTTGAATCCAATCATCTACGCGATTTTCAATAAGGAGATTCGCAAACCATTTATTTTAATAATGTGTTTACGCTGGCGCAACATCAATGAGTTAATGCGTGAGGAATATTATCAACGACAGTTCGGTGAACGAAGAACAAGGAATGATATTAACGGTGGCAATGATGGTACGGAGAATACCGAGCGGGCGGATCTCGATGATAATAATCAAAACATCGGCCATAATAATCATGATGTCGACAATAACAATCAGAACGTTAATAACAACCAGAACATTGACAATAATAATCAGGATGTCGATCATAACAATCCAGATATCAGCAATAATAATCAAGAAATCGATGGTAACAATCAAGACATCAACGATAATAACCAGGACATTGGTAATAACAAACAAGATATCGATAATAAAAAACAAGAACCTGATGATAGCAAGGTTATAGTCAATAAAAATCAGATTATCATTGACATTGTCAAGGAGTCGGAGATATCCCGCTTCTGATCCAAGGCGTGTTCCTCTAATAACGAGGATTGTGGTATTCAACGAAGATCATCGTCGTACTGCATGGACATCTTTCAAGTTGTCGCTGAAGTTCATGCACCTTGTATAACAGAAACTCTTGTGTGATCGATCAAGATGGATACCAGACATGTTCCAGGAAGATTCAGTGGTGTTCCATACAATATTTATACATTAGCTAATTAATAATTCTCTGTTTCTGCTGTTATTTCGTACTCTTTTAGTACTGATATTTATATCATCATTTTTTGTTAAAAATAGTTTATTTTTAATATATTGTTCTACTTTTTGCTATCTTAATTTTATTATATTGAATCTTGTTTCATTCTTTATTTTATTTTTTTTTTTTATATTGCTTTATTGCCAATAATTTTGTTGTTGAGAATCCAAATTAATTAACTCGGTTAATTTCGCAGTCACAGAAAGTAATTAAGCAAATTATTTTTGAGGTTGATCAAGAATTTCTAAAATTATGTTATGAAATCATACGAGAACTAAAAGACTTGCATAAATATATTGTCAATCTGACCTGTGCAAGAACTATATGTTTAATCTTTTTTTAAAGATGTTATTTAAAAATAATTTTTTTATAACTCAAAATGTGATACATACAACTTTTTAATATTTAAAATTAATATATCAGCTATGTGTTAATATACAGACTATAATATTTTGTTTTTAAATCTATCTAATTTCTTAAATACCTCCCTTTAAATTATTATTTTTAAAGTCTTAAAAACATCTTTTGAAAATTACAATGTTGTAAATATATAAAACTTTTGATCAAGAGTTCTTATCTTTATAGCACTTATTAAACATATTTTTAAAGTACGTTTAAGACTTTAAAAATAATCTGGATAATTTTTTTATTCTTGACGACGGTAAATCTTTACATTAGGGGACATCTTGTCGCTTTGATCTTGATATATATTATAGAGGTGATCAACTTATAAATTAATCGGTAGTTTCTTATAGTTTCTGAGATATTAGAATTAAAGTGTAATTTATAATTTTAGTAGGAAATGTTTTTAGTAAATTTGCATCAAGGAAAGTTATCCAGATGTCTAATTAGGTTTGAAAAAAGTAACGGTAAACTATATAGTATCCTATCTCCTGTTAACTAAAGAGTATCGGAAAATTTATTAGAAGAATGGAATCGAAGTCCGCTATAAGTTCCAAAAATGCGTTTAAATGACGTTTCTTTGTAATTTTTTTTACTTTTTGGGTTTTTCTACACGTGTATGTGTGAGTAATATATTTACATAGATATATCATAGTTGTGACAGATTTCCTAAATAGTTATCAACTTTAGCGATTAATATCTAGGTTCAAGGGAGAAAACATTTTTGCCACATTCGTTTAGTGCAAAATCATTTTGCAGCAATTTTTTGCAACTCTTGACTATCGATATTGAGTCAATGTTGGCAATTTCTATGGGTATATGGATAGATAGCTTTTTCATGATAAATGATCCTCCAACCAAGTTTTGACTGTCACAACCAGATCACGCGTAACTACATATTGGTGTAATTGACACATCAAGTCGTATGAACCATACATATACTTATCACACAAAAATAACTACGATGATGTACTAACTGTATTGCTTGCAACTAAATATTTTTGATTATATGAACCGTATCTTTTTTCCCGTGTATAATCGGTATTTGTAATTATATAAAAAATATTATGAATAATTATGTATAAGCAATTTACATTTGTCCAAATTTGATTTTTTCTAAAATAAACAATGCGAAAATTATGCGTTTAATTATTTTTTGTTTTCACATTATTATTATTATTTATATTACACTAAAAAGTAATTTTA